CGTACGTACGTACGTACGTACGTAGTACGTAGTACGTACGGTAGTACGTAGACGTACGACGTAGCGAGACGAGAGAGAGAGAGAGAGAGAGAGAGAGAGGAGAGAGAGAGAGAGAGACCTTGAATTCGCAACCAATACCAGCTTGTTCTAGGAACGGAGGACCAGCCTGCCAGCTTCAAAGAGTATCGTTTTATCAGCCATTCCATGCGACCATAAAATTGGTGTCTGTAGATGACAGAGAAACCTATCAAATCCATTATTAAATCACAGCTCTTTGAACATAATGCAAGTCTACAACTTTTGAATACTTGCAAATACGTCAAATTGAGCATCAAACAAACATGCTAACCATTTTCATACTTCATAATATTGCAGACTCTACAGAACAAAATTTCTGAGACGATGGCTATTCACATTTTTAAAAGGATATTTCATTCCTTGATGTTTATCTTATTGTGCTCCGTCCGGGAATCTCTCCCATACATTCATGCAGCATCGTCTCATCCAGCTTGGGAGGTTTGTAATAGCTGTATATAAATTACGAATACTCACTTTTCTATTGTGTAGGCAGTGATTGCTGGACCACAAATCACAAAGAGAAGAGAGGAGAGAACTCATCCCTACACATATTACAAAATTATTACTTATGAGGATCCACAAAACAGAAGCCCATCAGCTGCACCTTAAGCATTCAATAAGGGAGATTCTATGAGCCTAAACTCAGACCAAATGATACATCTAAGTCCTAGCAGATTATGAGATAAAATGATGACCATATTATAGGGGCGGAGAACATAACACAGGAAAATAGATTACTTTTTTTTCCAATCAATGACTTTTTTTTATTGATAAATGAGGATGTACAATTCTCCGTATACAAAAGATGCATATGATTCAGGAGTTTGTTAAAACTTTTGCCTATGAAAAGGAGGGAGAATGTTAGGATCAATCATCCACTGATCTTGTCACGAACAGATTGGGGCGAGAAACTCCATTATAGCTAAAGCACTGGCAGCTTAATTAGCTTCCCTCCAAATATGTCCAAAGGAGATCAGAATGGCAGATCACAATTCTGCAATAATGCCAAAAACTTGATGGAGTATCTGAGGACATGACAAGACTTGGATAACCCATGCAATGACATTTTGAGAGCCAGCTTCCACTAAAACCTACGAGCCTAGCTCTTCAAGCTTCGTAGACCATCCAGGAGTACAAGTGTCTCAGCAAGGGTAATGTCTGACAGCCATTGAGCCTTGAGGAGAGAAGGGACTACCCAAAATGGTTTCTAGATACCCCACCAATTCGAGCTGGCCATGGGTTACCAAAGGAGCACCACTCAAAGTTAAGTTTGATCCTTCCTTTTGGCAGTGGCCTCCATATAGCGGATACACAGAAACCCCTAAGGCTAGTTCAGATGATGATCTCCCACTAACTTACCAGGTCCAAGGATTGAAAGAAGTGGCTATGTGGAATGCAAGGGAGTATAAAAATTCTCTTTTTATTTTATTAATTAATATGAATTCCATGTGGAAGTGCCACAATACATAGCTGTAAATAAGAAATAAAACCCTGAATCAGTGTTCGCAAAATTGAACCGGAACGGTTAACTAGACATAGGGTCGGGAGCGGTCACATCCAGAACCAAACTAACCGGTCCGATAGACATTTTTTAAAAAAAAATGGGTCAAAAATCCCCCCAAAAAAAAAAAAACATAGATTTAATGTAATTATTTTATTACCAACATTTACCTTAAGAAAACAAATTTGAGAAGTGTGTAGTGTTTCATTGAAAAGAAGGCAATCAAAACTTTTTCATGCACTTAAAAAAACAAAATGTGCCATTTCTATTATTACAAATAGAACTACATCATGCAATAAAAAAACATAATTAAAAAAATTGAGCAAAAAAACATCGAGTAAAAGATTGAGCGACATTATAATGAACTTATTTTATTTTTGTTAGAAAAAATATACAACATTAAAAAAAGAAGAATCAATTTTTTTGTCATATTCATCAAAAACATATTTTTATCAAAAAAACATAATTTTATCAAAAAAATAAATTTTATCAGGTCATTGGAGGTTTAGGCCATTATAGCTGTGAAGTCTGCAACCTGAAGTTTGGCTTTGAGCAATCTCTCAGAGCTCACGTTAAAGCCCATGCATCCTATTATGGTAAGTTTTTGCAGTTTTTGTGGGTTATTTCCTAATGTTTTCCTTATCTGCTGCATATTTCTAAATCAAGATTCTTTTCCTTATCTGCATACTTTTTCAATCAAGATATTTTCTAATAATTTCCTTGTTTGCATCTTTCTAAATCAATTTTTTTTGACATCGGTCCTTTTGTAATCAAAGTATTGTGGAATGTGTTTTTTTCAAATCGAAGTTTCATGGTTTTGGGTTTTTGCAGGTTTCACTGATAGTGATAAGATAGGTTTGAAAGATGAGCGAGAGAGGAGAAAAGATGGTTGTAGAGGAGAAAGAAAGAGCACAACAGAGGAAACAACAAAGCATAACCAAGAAGAACTAGCTGTGTGCAAGAAGAAATTTCCGCACTATAACAAAAGAGAGCTCGAAAGAACATTATCCTCTCTCTCCCCTCACAAATTGGTCAGTCACTGGATCTAGAAGAAGAAGGAACAAAACTGCCAGGTCTGAAAGTAAAGATTTGCAGAGACAAAGATTTGAGGGAGTTTCAAAAAGCATGAAACAAATTGTGCATCACTTACCCATTCTTTCTTAATGTCAAAGAAATTTGGAGGAATTGGTTTCTTGGAAAAACAAGAAACTGACAAGGAAGGCCTGGAATTGGATCCCAGTGAAATCCTCCATGAAAGCTTCTTAGTTTACCGTCGGGGCCAATGGAAGAAGAAAACCGAGGTGAAGAGGGAGGCGAGAGCTATTGAGACAGTTGCTAATTCTGACAAACCCCAAGAAAGTGAAATCATTTCAAACTGCCATGATTCAAAGAAGAGGAAGTTTCTCATTGGAGTCTCTGCAGCTAATAACTCAAAGGACGAGGAAGTATCACAAGAGGATGTTCAAGTTTCTGGAATTTGGTCTGAGATTTAGTTGGGCTTCTTGAAAGTATTTGTCAATAAAAGACTATAAATCAGCAGAATTCCAGCCAATTTCACACGGAAAGGCAAGGGAGCCATATATGCACTAAGTGTAACCAATGGTTCAGTTCAGGTCAGGCTTTAGGTGGCCATATGAGGAAACATTTTGACAGAGAGAAACATCTAGCCAAGTTGAAAGCTCATCATTCTTCAAAGAGGTTGACAATGGGTTCTCAAGTTGAATTGGGAGGAGAGAGAAAGAATGGGGGAGGAAAGAGAAGGAATGAAGAGAGAATGGGGGTTATGGATCTTAATCGGGTGATGCCTATTGAAGATGAGGATTTGAAATTTGCTATAAGTATGTTGGAGGTGGTGCCTGATTATGCTGGTTATGTGAGATCTAGACTTTTCATGATCTCCGAGGCATAATTTAGGAGTTTGGGAAGCCACAAAAAGAGGATTTTGGGGTCCACAATTCAGTGGTTTGGAAGACTAGAGAGCATTCTATGGATAACATTTCAGTGGTTTTGCATGCAGCATTTTTTTGGCACAGTTTAGTGGTTTACTACGGGGAAAATTATTGTATAGAGTGATGAATTCATCAATTGTTTTGGGAAAAATCTCCATTGTTTCTTATAGTTATTTAAGATGACAAATTGTAAAATGTAATTAAGTTTATGGAGCTTTTGAAAGTTATTTAAGCTGACAAATTGTTAAATATAATTAAGTTAACGGAATTGGACCCACTTTGCCTCTGTTTTATTCTTTCTAGTTTTTAGTTTGTGAATTGTTTTGGCTTTTACATATGAATTATCAGCCCGTTTATAATGAATAATCTCGGTTAGTGCAAGTCATTTGGTTTTGGAAGTACATGTACAGTGCTGTTCTTATATTTATGAAGCCCATTTTGGTCTTACAATAGTGCCTTTTTGGCTGCTCACTCTCCATACTCAAATGGTCAAAGCATTGTCTCGTGTTGGAGCTCTTTCCCATTGCAGCACTCAAGCAAATTCTTGCACTCTGTGGGATAGTGAAAGACCAGGCCTTAGAACCTAGATTCTATTTATGGGTATCAACAATGATATATTGTAGATCATCTATCAATAAAACCACAACAAATGATAAAAGGAATTCAATGCATTATGTTGTACCCCGATTCACCTCATAAATAATGTTTCCTTTAAACAAATGCACATCTGCTTGCATATACATTTATGCCTAACACAATTTATTTGTATGAATAGATACACATGCATGTGTAATTTCAACACAATGCAGGAACATGTAAGTTTCGTTGACAGTAAGATTATGTAGAAGTTGTAAGGTCATGTATTTGGGTTTAAAGGCCCCACATGAGCATGAAATGTTTTGTAACTAATCATAATTAGGTATCAAATATGATGCAAAATCATATGGATAATTTGGAATAATTCAAGAATGATATATATCACTACAAGTCACATAGAATTCTCATTGAAGACTGAAGAAAAATGTTGTTTGATGCCATATATGATGCCAACCTCTAACTCAATGTAAATGTTACTGTCGAAATGGTTTTAGCATTGTATAGCACAATAAATAGAACAAGAAAGAGGAAACCTTAAGGATAAGTGTTGGCAATACAACAGATACAAGTAAACCAAGATACCTAATATAAATGTGTATAGGAAGAGACTCATAAATGTTTAAGTAGGAACCTTACCACTAATCAGAGCTAAAATCTGTTGCAACTCTTTTCCTTAGCATATATATTGTTTTATGTGTACCAGGAATTAGGCATTTTTAATCAGTTTCAGCTATAAAAGAATAGCAATCAAAATACAATTGTCATGTAAAACTATCCAATTTACAGAAGTAACATTGCCATTTGCATAAACTGTTTGTGCTTGGTCCCATATTGATGTCCAAACATATACAATGGAATTTCAGTCAGTCTTTGACATACAAATTTGTCTATCTATCTATCTATCTACACCACTCTATCTATCCAATCCTTCGTTGGATATATGTTATATATTTGATCACCGCAATCAACAAAATACATCAAATTTTCTGAACATTTACAAATACAAAATCTTCTCCCACCAAGAAATGCAATTAGGATAAAAATATATTCAAAAAATATATTTATTGTCAAGCCCACATTTCCACAATATGCGGGCTGGCTGCATGCTAACCACGCAGTTCAAGAAAAGGACATTAGTTACTACAATTGGAGAATGCAGAAAAGGTGACTGATATATGCAGAAAAGGTGACTGATATTAGTTAGAGACTAGCAAATATATTTCAACTTCTATTCCAGTGAAAAGCAAAGGGCTTCATGAGCTTCTTTTCAAATCAAACCTGCAATCCTGTGCATACCTAAGATCACTACTAGTTTTATACTGCTCAAGAATCCTTTTAACTTGAGGTTCACTTTGTAGACCCATCTATACTTGGCTCATATGCTAAGTCAAGAAGAAGAAAGAAAGAAACGATAAAGAGTAGCACAAGGCACATAACAGGTAAACTGATTTGGAGATGCAGAATGTTGAGTTGAGAGAGCAACCACAACCTTTTTGGATGGTACCCAAGGGAGAGGGGAGAGAGCAAAAGAAAGACAGAGAAATAGAGAGAGGGATAAATCAAAATACATATGTAAATTTTTCAAAAAAAAAAAGAAATTCGAGAGAGATTCTGAGAGGGCCATAGGCATCAGATACAACTTTTTGCTCCACTTCCATACTTGGACTGGATCTAGGCCAACTTTCTCGCATCATTCATCTTCATGAAGATCTTACTCATATTCACATCTGAGTTTATCCCCATGCATGCCTTCGAAGTGACATCATCTTCAACACCATTAAGCTAGAAAATGGCCTCACAAATGTCATCGATTCATTAGGAGAAATTTTTAATTGCACAAATGCAAACCCTAGGCCCGCCACTACTTCAACCATCAACTGTAAGATTTTAGCCACTGCCCTCTTCTTCCTCTTTGTTGGGCGACTTGCAGTTGAAGCAGGGGATTTACCCTTCTCACTAGCCCTTGAATGTGTAGGCGTCTCAGGAATGTCCTCCTCTTCAATATGAAGCCTATTTTGGTATTACAATAGTTCCTTTTTGGTTGTTCACTCTGCATACTCAAATGGTCAAAGCATTGAATGGCGTTGGAGCTCTTTCCCATTGCAGTACTCAAGAAAATTCTTGCACTCTACGTGGGATAGTAAAAGAACAGGCGTTAGAATCCAAATTCTATTTATGGGTATCAACAATGATATATTATAGATCATCTATCAATAAAACCACAACAAATGATAAGAAGAATTCAATGCATTCTGTTGTACCCCGATTCACCTCATAAATAATGGTTCCTTTAAACAAATGCACATCTGCCAGCATATACATGCATGCCTAGCACAATTTATTTGTATGAATAGATACACATGCATGTGTAATTTCGACACAATTCAGGAACATGTAAGTTTTGTTGACAGTAAGACTATGTAGAAGTTGTAAGGTCATGCATTTGGGTTTAAAGGCCCCACATGAGCATGAAATGTTTTGTAACTAGTCATAATTAGGTATCAAATATGATGCAAAATCATATGGATAATTTGGAATAATTCAAGAATGATATATATCACTACAAGTCACATAGAATTCTCATTGAAGACTGAAGCAAAATGTTTTCTCATGCCAACCTCTATCTCAATGTAAATGTTACTGTCAAAATGGTTTTAGCATTGTGTAGTACAATAAATGGAACAATAAAGAGGAAACCTTAGGATAAGTGTTGGCAATACAACATATATAAGTAAACCAAGATACCTTATATAAATGTGTATAGGAAGAGACCCATAAACATTTAAGTAGGCACCCTACTGCTAATCTGAGCTAAAATATGTTGCAACTCTTTTCTAGAGCATATATATTGTTTTATGTGTACCAGGAATCAGGCATTTTTAATCAGTTTCAGCTAGAAGAATAGCAATCAAAATACAATTGTCATGTAAAACTATCCAATTTACAAAAGTAACATTGCCATTTGCATAAATTGTTTGTGCTTGGTCCCATATTGATGTCCAAACCTATACAATAGAATTTCAGTCAGCCTTTGACATACAAATTTGTCTATCTATCTATCTACATCACTCTCTCTATCCAATTCTTTGTTGGATATATGTTATATATTTGATCACTGCAATCGACAAAATACACAAAATTTTCTGAACATTTACAAATACAAAATCTTCTCCCACCAAGAAATGCAATTAGGATAAAAATATATTCAAAAAATATATTTATTGTCAAGCCCACATTTCTACAAGAAAAGGACATTAGTTACTACAATTGGAGAATGCAGAAAAGGTGACTGATATATGCAGAAAAGGAGACGGATAATAGTTAGAGACTAGAAAATATATTTCAACTTCTATTCCAGTGAAAAGCAAAGGGCGTCATGAGCTTCTTTTCAAATCAAACCAGCAATTCTGTGCATACCTAAGATCGCTACTAGTTTTATACTGCTCAAGAATCCCTTTTAACTTGAGGCTCACTTTGTAGACCCATCTATACTTGGCTTATATGCTAAGTCAAGAAGAAGAAACAAAGAAATGATAAAGAGTAGCAAAGGGCACATAACAGGCAAACTGATTTGGAGATGCAGAATGTTGAGTTGAGAGAACAACCACGACCTTTTTTGGATGGTACCCAAGAGAGAGGGAAGAGAGCAAAAGAAAGACAGAGAGATAGAGAGAGGGATAAATCAAAATACATATGTAAAGTTTTCAAAAAAAAAAAATTAGAGAGAGACTCTGAGAGGGCCATAGGCATCCGATACAATCATTTGGTCCAATTCCATACTCGGACTGGATCTAGGCCAACTTTCTCGCATCATTCATCTTGATGAAGATCTTACTCATATTCACATATGAGTTGATCCCCATGCATGCCTTTGAAGTGACATCATCTTCAACACCTTCAAGCTAGAAAATGGCCTCACAAACATCATCGATTCATTAGGAACATTTTTGAATTGTGTAAATGCAAACCTTAGGCCCACCACTACTTCAACCATCAACTGTAAGGTATGAGCCACTGCCCTCATCTTCCTCTTTCTTGGCCGACTTGCAGTTGAAGCAGGGGATTTATCCTTCTCACTAGCCCTTGAATGTGTAGGCATGTCAGGAATGTCCTCGTCTTCAACATCCATACCAGGTGTCTTCATCTTCCAGCATTGCATCTTGCTCGGCTGTTGCTGTTGTCCTCGTACTTATTCCTCGGCCGTTGAATTGCTTATGATTATGCCCAACTCCTCATAATAGGGAAATGGTTCCACTTGATATGCTTGGCATTGGGATGTGCCTATACAATGTGGGCAATTATTAATGATTAATATCAAAATTCACAATACAATTGGCAAATACCCTCAAAAGAGAGTAATGAATAAACTAACCGCAATGTACTATTCCCAAAGATCCTCAATACCCATCATTATTTGTCTCACTGAGTCCCAGTCAAATCCAATGTGGTTTACGAGGGTATTAACTATTTGGTAATTTGTAACTTACGTTTGAGGTTGTTTTTGAAGTTCTCGATCTTCAAAGTCATGCCTGTTGCGTTGGTGAAGGCTTTCTCTACAACATTTCATTGTGATGGTTTGAAGTCCTTCTCTAGCTTATTGCATGCCTGTACATGTTCAATTAGCGCATCTAGCAATGTCATTTCCATCCTACGAGTCCGATGTATTTCTTTCGTCTTTGAGGTTACACTCTCAACCTCCATAACTTCGTCATCCATACCTAATTAAATAGTCAATTGCATAAGATAACAACATGAATTGAAAGCAATATTGCGCGGTCATAAGAATAATTCAACACATGACTACATCAATGCATTAAAAAGAAATATATTTGGCATATTCCAACAATATTTGACTAACAAAGTGTAGACACTCCATCTTGAAAATTGACAAATTCAATGGTGTTCAAAACCACAAACAGCCTTGGGACCACACTATCCCAATAAACCCCCAGACCATAGACCACCATAGTCCATATTGTCTGCCCTGTGATTTAGAATCATGCAGAATACCTTGTTTTAGTGAAAAAATCATTAAAAATAGTAAAACATCTCGTTTTGATTTAAATTTTGGCAAGCAGCATCAAATGAGCCCATAGATATCCTCAGAACAGGAATCTACCAATTTTGGGTAAATTTGGTTTGGGTGACAAACCAGTGTTTCCCGGTCAGCTATTTTTGGCAGGTAGCATCCCGACAGCCCCAAAATCAGCCTAGACAAGAACATGCCAATTCTTGGCAGATTTGGTCTGGGCAACACCATCAGTGTCGCCTGGGCAATACCTAGCCCAAACTTACCTAACCGGCTGATTTTTAGCAAGAAGCATCCCGGCAGCCCCAAAATCAGCTTAGACAAGAATCTGCCAATTCTAGGCAAATTTGGTCTGAGCGACACGTGTCCCCTAGCCTAGCCTGACCCAAATCGATTGATTTTTTGTAGGCAACATCCCAACAGCCTAGAAATCATCCCAGCTTGGAATCAGCCAATTTTGATCAGATTTAGTCTAAGAGACACCACTGGTGTCGCCCAGCTCCGACTGCACCAAATTGGTAGTTTCTACATGCCAACCCGTCTTGATTCATTTTTCGCCAGGTTCATAGAACCTGCACCATTTAGGTCTAGGCGACACTGACACTACCAGTGTTGTCCAAGCCTTGGACTGCTAAAACGGAAGTCCAGGCTAAGAACCCTTGTGTTACTCATTCCAGATGATTTTCAGCTTATAAAAAGGTCATTTCGGGATCATTTTATGTTATACTTTTTAGACCTTAGCTTGTGTGCCCAGAGAAAACTTTGAGATGGTGAGTGTTTGAAGGTATTTTTCTACACTGATCCCCGATGTGAATAAGGAAAAATAATTTCACAGCCTAGGTCTGTAGGTACCAAAATGCATGTGGATTACGGAAGCTGTAGGACAATAAGCCCTGGTCCATAAGTGAAATTTCCAAAAGTCCCAGAATTTCCCAAGATGGTTCAAGATTGTGCCTAAGGGTCTTCGAAGAATACCTGCATATTTTCGTCGCGATCTGACAAGTTTAAGGCAATGCTGACGAAGAGCCTGTGGACTACAGAAGCCGTAGGACAACAAGCCCTGATCCAAAACGTGCCTTGATCAAGCAGCCACATCATGACGCCCGCGTATCGGATCGACCTCAAACTAGGCCCATTACGAGCACGAGGTCAGAGGCTTCATCTGAATCAAACCTCGCACGTGATGGACGGTCAGTTTCACCGCACAATGGAGTCGAATTTGCTGCAATTTCCGGACACCGGAAACAAAACTTCGGCCAAAATACCAAATTTGAAAAACGGTCGTTCGAACCCCAAATCAAGCCACGTTCGTTGTCACGCATTGTTGAAATACCTTACGTATTGAAATACATAAGGTATTGCTCGCACTTTGTCCAGGAATCGTAAACCCCTGGCTGCCTTCCCTTAAGACCATATAATAATTTTTGCGAGCTATTCATAGATAGATGAATGGACAGTAATGACATACAAAACTTAGAGGTATATCAAATTATGAAACTGCAAAAACTTGAATTGCATGATATAGCCTATTGAAATCAATACATCAAACTATTTGAAAGAAGCTTAAACTTGAATTGCATGATATAGCTAGTCTATTGAAATCAATACATCAAACTAGTTGCGAGTCATATGCTTGAAATTAAGCTTGTGACTAAAGTTTTGCCGATCCAATCTACACCTAGTAGTCTGGAAGGGCAACAAGTGGATACCAACTGCACAAGCAGACGTAATTTCATTCCTCAACACTCATATGAGTTGTACAGGAGTCCTCCTATATGACAATCACCTGTATATACACTAACCAAAAGGTGCAACGTGTAAGTCAAAGAAAACACGCATGATACTTACACAAACTTAATCCACATATCCCATAGGGTTAAGATCCCATCCCATGGCATGCAGTTTACAAATATAAGTGTGCATATTTCTCAGTAGTGTAAAAAGATTGAGCATAAGGACATAATGACAACCAATATAAATGGTAGACTCATCAGCATGCGATATAAAAAGTTAATAACAATGAAGTCTTGCATTTTTGATGAATCATGTGAACAATGAAGGACAAGCTTTTTCTCCATCAAGGAGATGTGGATCAAAAGCCAATAGCTAGAATATGTTCTCTATATAATCGCACTAGACAAGTTACAGTTACATAAATATTTGGCACATATCTAACCAAGACAAAGAAATAGGTGAAGTTCGTAACACAATTTTACATGTCTAAAAAAACAAATCACCCCCATCAATTAACATATGCATGCCACAATTGAGATGCAATTGCATCTCGGAGTTCCACGCCATCATCATGAACGTCTTGTCCATGAGTTCAGTTGGTGTAATTGTCTTCTCCCCCTCGCCCCCCCTCCCCCTCCAGGCATTTGTCTTTCAACTCTCCTCCGAAATCGCAACTCCCTCCTGCTATTTGCTCCTCGTGATATCATGATGTAGTTATGCAAAATCGCAGTTGCAATAACAATCTTGATTTGAGTTCTTAGAAGTTACTGCATTTGGTTCCCTAGAATCAGAAATCGCACCTTCCACAACCCGAATGTCATTTCGACCACATTCCTAAGAGTTGAGTGCCTTCAGTTGAATAACCCCTTCTCATCTTGAGGACCTTGGAAACCTGTTGCAAAGTAACTCAAATGATAATGGAATCTGCAATACAGGGTAGCCTCCATCTACGAGGTAATATTTTCTTGGAACATATCGAAATGAAAAAATAGAGTTACGCATTATAGCATGACATTGCAAAATAAACATGTCGCCTAACTTTCAGGAACCACCAAACGATTATGTTCCCTTCCGATCCCGTCAAGTAGGACTCAAGAGTCTAATGTGGAGCCCTCCCATCCAGCAAGGCAATATTGGAACTACATGTCAAACCCAACTGCAGCCATAACATTTTGGCTTAAGAATCCTTTCATATTTCTGTAGCGTTGATGCATTTCACTCTTAACTCGTGCAGGGATATATGTCCCGTCAGTCGCTACCATGCATTCCTATTAAAAGTCAAAGTACCTATACCATTATTAATAGTTTTACTATTGATTGAACCACCTTAAAAAGGAGAAGACGGTATCTCACCTGGAAATTTAGGAAAAACCTCTCCTTGTCATCCTCAATGTGCTTAGGTGTTTCATTGCCAGGAAGTTGAAGGAACAGGGGTCATAATTGTAATATCACAATCAATTCTTTGTTAAAGTAGAAACTAATGGTTTGGCCAGAATGTTGAAAGGGTTCTTGAACAACCCTATTTCATTGATCATGTGTCAGGGTACTTAAGAATATGGCAATTTGCTCCTCCACTATCAAGTGTCTAGTATCTATAATAAGTGACCTGTCCTTTAGTAGATTACACAGATCGAGAAAGATGCCCTTCTCCATTCGCAACATATCGAAGGAATGACAAGGATGCCCCGTTTGTAAGTACTCGACATACTTGGGCCCAGTTAGGACTGAGGTAAGTACACGCTGCCTTCTCACTTGACTAGTTGTGCCAATATGTTAAGCAAAATGCCACATACAGGATAGAAAATATGAACATGAACTCCTCGTCTTGGGGGTCCATAGAGTCGTGAGTGATAATTGTCGTTCATATCAGGATCACCCAAAAGGAAAACAAACAAGTTAACGTAATGTACTAAAATTGAACAGAACCACAAATGATCAGTCTATTTAAACTACCATCCAAAAAACAAAATTCCATATTTTGAAATAACCATAATGACATAAGGACAAACATTATCCTGACCCATCCATAAATCAATAAACTAAAATTGAACTTATCCACAAAAGATCAATCCATTTAAACTACCATCCATAAAGAAAAATTCCATAGTCTGAAATAACCATAATGACATAAGGACAAGCATTATCCTGACCTATCCATAAATTAGTAAACAGAAATTGAACTCATATACAAAAGATAAATCCATTTAAACTACCATCCATAAAACAAAATTTCATACTTGCCTTAACCATAATGACAGCCATTATCCTGACCCATCTATAAAGAATAAAAATAAAGTTGAACTGATCCATGAAAGATCTATTCAAACTGCCAGGCACACAGAAAACAAGCATTCATATCTTCATATGAAGATCCTTCCAAAAGTAGACACCAAAATTAATTTTTGTTCGCAAAAACAAAGTATTTTGAAGTTCATCAACATCTTAAAGGAGGAAACTAAAACTATTGCATGCGCTGCACCGTATCCTCCAACTAGGCCACTACACCCTCTAGGTTCTCCAAGGTAAAAAATAGCTCCATACTTGAGGAGTCTTGAAATATCCGAGATGCCTTGACGAAGATATGAGGACATGAATACCTATTTCTCCCTTTTTCCACAAGGCTTCGACAATCCATGTGCATTGCTCTCTATCCTTCCTTGCCTGAGCAACAACAGCTGCAGGATGATTGTTCATCCTGCTAATAGTAGCGGTTGCCCAGTCCTTCACGGTACATGCCATCGTGGCCATAATGTCGACCATTGTATCAATTGTTGTGGGTTGTTTTTTCCTTCATTGAGCTCCTGTTGGACTCTGAGAGTGCCCCCTCTTTGACTCAGAGGACAATGCGCCGTCAGATGAGTAAGAGCTGGAGCCCTTCTCAACCCCCAAGTCTGCCATTGGCACAGATGTGCCAGGGGTATGATCTAGTGGCGCATCGATACCTCCTTGGTTAGTATCATGAGAAGGGCTTTGAGTGTCTTGGAGGCCATGCCTACTCAAAGTTATGCCACCTCCCCCTAATGCATTCATTCCTTCTACCGCCTCTCTGCCAAATATGCTCTCCAAGTCCTTGAAGCATAAAGGCAATGCCTTACCATTGTATTTTTTTGCAAAACTATTCTCATGTAAATAAAACACATGTATATATTGAATTCGTAGGAACATTACACTGAAACTAGCATAACCATATAGAAATAGACAATGAAGGTGTTTCAACTCACCACTGTATACTGAGCTCATAGGACTCGTTTAATAGTCACCATATTTCTAGTATGATCTAACCCAAAAGCTTATTGTGACAAAAATTTTTCACTTCCATGTACTTTGTCCTAAATTGCTTATACTTATATTTCAATCAATTGAAGACATATCAGTTTCCATATTCCTCTTTCATGAACTGGGTCATCCAAGGCTATGTGTCTTTCTTTAGGCCCCAATTTCTTGATCTTTTTCAACAAGAGATTAATGAATTGGGTCTCCTCTGTAGAGTTTTGTAGTCAAAATTATGGCTAAAGGATGTCCTAAAAACCTTGATTCTGAGTCTAAAAGACTAGACAAACTTTAGTAGACCATAGGCAACCTAGACCCAATATAGTTGATCCAAACCTGCCCAAAACCTATCTCAATTTGAAGTAGACCCCGAGAGCTTTCTAATGACAATTTGGTCCCTATAAGATCCAAATGTCGGGCCTCAAGGTGGGCCGTGTTGTGGCCCAGCATGCCCAAATGCAACCTGATGATGCAGTAAACACATTTTTTAATTAGATAAATCCAAAAGATCAAGATAAAACTAAAAAATATGAAGAAAAAAAAAAAAATCCAAAAAAAGTCACAATTTTTTTTTTTTTGGGTAATTCAGTTGGAAAGACAGCCCTACCAGCTATTTAATACATTAAAGAATTAAATTTTGAAGGTGTTAATTGGGGATGTCCACGGTAGGAATGAATCCCACGACGTGGTAACTAGGTGTGGGGAAGCTAACACCATGAGCCCAGCCCCTTTCCAATTGAAGCCTATAAAGTACCACCCTCCAGAACCCAAAAAGAGAATAAAAAATTCCCCAGAAATCCTTAGAAAATAGGACACAATTTCAGAAATTAGGAAAAATAGCCTAAAAACATCTAAAAAAAAACGTAGGATTTTTTTAAAAAAGTATAAAAAATTCGAAAAAAAATCTTGAACAATCTCAAAAAACCTCAAATTTTGGATTTAATTTTAGGAGCTCCCAAAAGCTTTAGAAAACTTAAAAAAAATCCTTTATAAACCCTTTGAAAAAGCTTAGGTAGACCTTACCTAAAATTTCCAAGCTTTTCTCCTACCTTTGGAACCCTTGATTTAGGTCAAAGAACCCTAGATCTACCAATTCCAACAAGAAAAAGCATAAAAACAAAAGGAAATAGTGGTACAAATCAGAAGAACGGCCTGATCCAAGCCCAAACTCCTAGTTTCGGATCCCTTGAGATAAGTATTTCTTTCTTTGCTTAATTCAGCTTGTTTTTTTCCATTTAATTCTCTATTTTATTTTATTGTTTTAAAAATTATTTTATTATTTGATTTAATTAAATTTAAAAGCATTGTTTAGGTCAAAATACAAATTTAGAGCTGGCGCTGCCAGTGGACTTGGAAAAAGATCGAATCTGTATAGATTAAAGATTTTTCTGACCCCCTAATTCAAGTCACCCCACTTTCTCTACCTTCCCATAAATTTAACGCAATTTTTATTAAGATTTGAGCAGTTCTCACTTAAAGATCAACACAGATCGGAGCGTAATCAAGTTCCATTAGGCAAATTATCTAGCTTCACAGTTTCTTGCTTTGCACCCCACCCTAGTATTTGTACGTACCGCTTATGAGTGGTTCTCCATTCCTTGGGAGACAAATAATGCATTTAAATATCTACCATATCGTATGGACTGATAACACTAATATACAATAATACCCGTTCATAGTACCTTACTAACGGTTCATATAAATGTATGGGAAGGACAAACCATATAAAATGCTGATGGACATTAGTATATAAGGGCAAAATATGCAAAGAACGTACGAAACAAACCATCTATGAAAGCCACTCAATAGAAACCTTGATAGCTAAAATTTAAATACAATATTATTGAAATTTAAGAGGAAATTTTAAAAAGAAATAAAAAAGTGGTGATACTTTTCTATTTTAAAATATAAAAAGCTTGGAGATTTGGGAGAGACATCCCGATGAGAGATTACAAAGTGTGTAGAAAATCTGTAAAAAAACTGGAGATTTCAGTGACCCGTCGCAAACTTGGTAGGAAAAGGAACTATGAAGTACACGATTATTTTAACTTTTTCTTAGAAAGTAGGAATACAAAAATCGTGGCTTGAGCAATTTGAAACCATTGCTTTAATGTTTCCGCCCCCTGTAATATAGATTGAGCAATTGATAAAGAGAAGCTATTGTGAAAGAGAAGGTGTGACCTAGACTGAGTACCATAATTGAATTGGGAACTTGGATGGCATGAAGAATCATAATATAATATGAAAAAATGTTGAGCAATACTTCCAGATTGTCAAAAATGCTTTAATCTACAAGAAAGAAGGTATCAAAACGCATAAAAATTGATAGATGCCGATACACCCAAATGTTACAGATTGTGAACAATGGTAACTAGAGACTAGATTTTCAGGAAACCCCCGAATAATTGAAAATCATAGTGTAATTGTACTGGAGTTCTTGGAGACAACCCAAATATTAAAGAGCTTGAGAAATGAATTTCAATTGTTCTATAAAGAGTTATAAGATGATATGCTAGCACATGTAGAGAGAAACTATGGCAGACATTCACAAAAATGTCATGGAAGGAGATCACAGAAGATAGGCAACCTGGGATACAATCATTTTTGTCCTTCAAATTTAAAAGTGGGTGGGATACAATCATTTTTGTCCTTCAAATTTAAAAGTGGGTGGTTGTAAGAGTGCCGTTGAATATATACATAGATCAAAAACCAAAATTCTCGGGTTTCGTGGCTCACCCCAAACCATCAATTTGACATTAAGTGGGAATGACTGTGACCTCTATGCACAAAAGATAAATAGTCTTTTTGTAGACAATCCCTATTTTTTTCACATCCATGATCTCCATGTTTGGGATTATATATCCTTAAATATTGAGTCTAAATATCCATCGTAAAAATATATCAAAAATATATTTTTAAGAGGGGAATAATTTTTACATGGACTTGTAGAAACGTACTCTCAATGGACCTTCGGCTTTGTTCCTAGTTGGACTTTCTTGGCTTGGGCTCTTACTAAAGCCCGAATATCACAAAAATTTGGGCCGGACGCGAAAATCCAGTGTCCGCCCCGAACTATTGACAGTCCCGTGTAAGAGCATGAAAGAAAGCAATCCAAAATGAGAAATAATATTTGTACAGGGGCATCAGAAGATACAATCTAGATGGAGAAACAATAGGTAAAGTATTCTATGAGGCAGTGGCTGCAAGAGCCCTGTTACTCTTCAACGTCCATCTTTGAAATGGATGTTGCGTAAAGCGCATAGGGTCGAATCAGATATAGATGGTGCCAAAAAATCCCCCAAAAAATGCACATTTACATTAGTTGCAATTTGTATAGAGTCGAGGCTCTAAACAATCAAAGTAAAGTGCACCTTCATATAATATCGAGAAATGTGGTTTCAGTATTGAAAATCTTTGTAATAGCCTTAAATTGTATTTTCATCACTAATTATAAAATTTAAAACTTCAAAAATAGTGTAGATCGAGCAGATATATGAACACTTGAAAATCTTGAAAATTGATGGTCCAAAAATTCATTACAAGATGCCTTACTTCCAAAACTTGAAATTCATTCTTTTTTTCATGCCCATGCATCTTGAGGTCGAGATGCTCAATTTGAGAATATTTAGGCATCAAAACAACCTCTTATAGTGAAATTTTTGATGTGCACTTTAATTTGATTGTTTAGAGCCTCGCACTTATATAAACATAAACTCTTTCTTTTCAAAGTTCAAACTCTCTTTTTATTTTCTTTTTTTTTTTTAGCCTAACTTCGATGATGAATCCAAAAAAATTTGGATAAAAAATCCATATTTGAGGTAAATTTTATAGGAGGGCTGCACGTGTACATATGAGTCGGTTGACTTATGGAAACCCCATCCAAAACAATATTTGTGTGAGTGCTTAAGAGACACCCCTATATAGGATTTCGCATATGCTGTACTGAGAAAAGAAAATCCTTGAACCCTCAAAGCAAAAACTGGACTTTGAACTTATGTGTAAGTTGGCCAATATGAAGTTGTATGAATGTTATGGAGGAACAATTATGATGTATAGTAGCATATAAAATTTAGGGTAAATATCTTCATACCCTCTATTTTTAAGTTTCATGTCACAATAGACCCAATGTTTTAAAAGATATATTGGGGTATAAAATATGTAGATTTTATTTCTTCTAATTCGGGAGCTAATTTAAACCTATTTTTTTAGGCCAAACAAATCTAAAAAGACATGTCTTTTTTAAAAGCCATCCTCCTAAACTTCTAGAGAAAGAGAAGGGCTTCATGGAAGTGAGAAGTTACTAAGAGAAGAGAGAGAGAGGTGTTTGGAGAAACACAGGAGGAGAGAGAGATGCAGGAAGAGAGAGAAAGAGAGAAGTTTGGGGTATATAAGTGAAGAGAGATAAAAGATTGGGTTTAGAAATAATATGTTTTTCTCATATTTGTTTAGGTTAAAAAATAGGTTTAAAGTGGCCAAGGGGTTAGAAGATATCTTTTGAAACTTTGAGTTTATCAAGAAATGAAACCTAAAAACAGGGGATACGGAGATATGTTTCCTAAAATTTATGGTAATTACATATATGTTTTAAGTGCTCTAATTTTTTATTTTTTCTAACTATGCCCCCATGTTTCAAATATCGAATTGCGATTTAATTTTAATCTACTTATTTTTAGATATTCATAGGATGGTCTTGATGTCAAAAAAAATTAATCTATTCTATTTATAAGAGAGATCTAGTATTTAACATCCAACTACCATTTGCTTCTACAATGATTTGGTCCCATGCTTGAAACATTGTTCCTTCAAATATCGGGCTGCCC